AATGAATATAGGAAAAATATGCAATATGAAAATAATTGAAGACAAAATGTATTTTACTGAGAAAAAATATGATTTGGTTTTTAAAAAGCCTTTTTCCAAAAGGTACATCTGGAAAAAGGGGGGTCGTCTTACATATTCGGGCCAATACGGTAATAAAATTACAGAGGTATCCTATTGTCACGTTACGCTGCTGCAGGCAGAACGTAGGAGACATGGAGTAGCATTCACAGTCTTTAATGACGAAAAGATGGGATAATCCACAATAGGAGCTGGGCAAACACACGTAGAAACAAGTAGACCTGACAAACACAAACTGAACAGACTCAGCAGGACCCAGGCCACAGCCATAACAGCGGCCCACGGTGGAGCCGACATTGGGAGGAGCCATGGAGGAGGGATGGCCGCCGACTCCAGGGGGCCGACCAACGACGGCGGAGCAGGTGGTGGAAGAGCCCGAGGCGGAGACGGAGAGCCAACGATCCAGCGGGATGCCAAGGATCCGGGGGGCCAGGGTGGAGCCGAGGGCTCTGGTGACCGAGGCGGAGATCCTGAGATCCGTGGCGGAGCCAGAGCGACTGAGGAACAAGGTGGAGCTGGCGGGAGGAAGGAGCCGCATTGGAGCCCAATGAGGTGCAGCCGGAGGAGCGGAGTCCTGAGGCGATGGCGGGTCACACCGTCCGCGGCTTTCTCCCTCGTGGCTGGCATTGTCGCCGGCTCTCGCACCTGGTCTAACGGATTGAGCTCCACATCCGGGGCGGTCCTCTGCTCAGTCGCTCGGCTTTGCGCTGGCTCGTCGATCGCGGCAGGAATTGGCTCTCCGTCATTGGTGGGCTCGGGCTGATTCTCCGCACCAAAGGGAGATGGTGGGCTGGGCACTGGGTCTGGAGTTGATCTGACGAGATCATCCACGGGGCAGGTGGTGGATGGCGACCCGTTTCTCGCCAGGAAGTCCACTCCACGAAGGCGACGAAATCCTCTCGAGAACCATCTTCGGACGACGGCGCTCTGCTCGCGGTGTTCAAGCTTGCGTCATAGAATGAGCAGAGTGCGTTGTCCGGGTAGCTGGTGTTGCTTGCTAGCAGCTGGAATAGTCTCGTATGGTCCTCGAGAGATCTATCCCCCTGCTCCAGCAGGAAGAGGAGGAATTCCAGGCGGGTAAAGGGATCCATAACAGGAAACACAATGGAAACAAAAACACTGAGAGAAAAACGAGAAAACAAACGGAGGGGAAAACACTGAGGTAACTGTGTTGGTCGGTTCTTCTGTCACATTACGCTGCTGCGGGAAGAACGTAGGAGACATGGAGTAGCATAAATGTAGTCTTTAATGATGAAAACACGGGGTAATCCACAATAGGAGCTGGGCAAGCACACATAGAAACAAGTAGACCAGGGGGGTATTCCAAAAAGCAGGTTATGTGACATACCCGGCTATGTTTGAGGATAAGCGAGCGGATAACCTGTTTTTGGTTCCAAAATCAGAGGTTACTTTAAGGGTATGTAAGTAACCATAGTACCTTGCTCTCTGAAGATAACCTGCTCCGGAGCCGGAGTTCCAGGATTAGTTCCCTTCAACGCACGTGTGATCTACTGATGAGCCTTCAGTGGGTGTGACAGATAGCGCACAACATTATATAATAATACAATATGTAATAGAGCCCATTATATATATTATTATTTTTTCTTTGTATATGTTAATGATGAAGCCCTAATATAAGTAATAAATAAGGTAATATATTCTAATATGGTTATGTTTATTGGCATATATAACAGTTATCTGTATAAATTATAAAACACTATGACAAGGTAATGTTTAATATATATATATATATATATTTTTTTTTATTAAGTCAAGTCAAGTTTATTTGTACAGCGCTTTTCACGATACAAATCATTGCAAAGTAACTTTACAGCAAATTAAGTTTCTACAATATTTAGTGGTAGCTTATCAGTGGTGACTGTCAGTTTATGTACATATGGCAGAAATGTA